TGCATCTGCATGGTGCCTGCGGATCAACAGGAGCAGGCGTGTCACACGAGCACACGAGGGAGAAGCACCCTGAAAGCAGCACTCAAGAGCTCATGCCTTTTGGTTCCTGCGGTATCTATCTTACTTCTCGTGCGCACACCTGCCAGGATAGGCTTCTGAAGCGGCAAGCGAGGATTCTTCAAGTAAGAGGCTGGTTGTTTGCCCTGGGTCAGGTGAAATCGGCCATTCAGAAGTACAAGGACATCTGAGTGTTGAGCGCCTGCACAGCAGGACTGGGGTCCTTTGATGGACACTGGGCTGAGTTTTCCTCCCGCGGCAGCTGGCAGCAAAGATGCTGTGCAAACCTGGCGGCGGGTAGATGCTGTGAAAAAGGGAGCCGCGCGTGGCCGACTGGACCCAGATAGGTCGGCCCAGCCAAGTCGTGATTTGCCACATGAGGTTGCAGGAAGTTTCCATCCAGACATCTCCCCGCTTGGCGCCTAGCTTCAGCAATCGGAAGGGATCCCTTTTCAGGGTCGTGATCTTTTTGCCATGCGAAATACCGAGCTGGATCCGTGGCAGTTTCATCGTGCATCGGGTATGGCCGTAGTTGCCGCTCTGATCCATGGAAGCCACCGCGTGAGCTTGCTGGATGGCTTGAAATTCATTGAAGGTCAAGGTCAGCTGGTGTCAGAGCCCAAGACCTCCTGTGGTGTTCGAGAGGTTGGATGTGATGAAATTCCTTTGCAAAGCTGCGGACGGAGCTGCATGCCTCGCTGACCCGAATGTGGCTCTGGCTCGAGATCGCTTGTGCCGTGCTCGCCACAGTCAACATGGCTCCGCGGAAAGTCTCCGAAAAAACACGCCCTGAGGCCGTGACATCGAGACTTTGCTCGCTCGTCAGTCTTGGTCCTGCCAGGACCCACCCAAAAAGCGCCAAAAAGTCGGCTCATCTGAGTCATCCAAAGAAAACCAGGCTCCGCTGTAGCCATTTCTCGGCTGTGCTGCTGCATTTTGTTTGCAGCGTGACATGGCTTCCACCGCATCAGTGGCAGACAGTTTTTTTCATACGTTTGCGTGCTCAGTTGGAAATCGTGACTGCGAAACGTAGTCATTGGCTCCCTGCATGTCTTCGGTGGTTATGGTGGTGGTAGATTGTGGTCTCATTTCGGCGCAGCTGCGGTGTCGGTGTCGCAACAGCTTCGTCAGCATCGTTTACACGGTATTTACAGTGGCACCCGGCTATCGTGGCATCATGCTCTGGTTTAGCAGTGTCTTCTCTGTCGGTTTCTGTAATCCAGCAGCGAATGCACCATCGAAACGTGCAGCAAAAGACAGTGCAGTTCAGAAGCATGTCTTTCTCCGACCACCTGCTTAATACATGTCTACGCATGGATCGCAACGCCGTCGCCTTACTCGCCTTTTCAAGAACGTGGCAGCGAGTTCACCAGCGAATGTAATCAGACCTTGCGGGGTCAATAAGGGCCGCTGAGTGCATACGCTGCAGTGTGCAAGCCTAGCTGGTGGTGGGGTTTGCGACAAGTAGTACTTCACAACTGGCAAGAGTCCTAGCAGGGGATGTAGGAGTTGTAGCACTGGGAGTCGCAGGAGAAGTAGTGGTTTCCGTGGCAGGACAGAGAGCACTGCAACTGCACAGGATTCCAACAAGATCAATCACCGCAAGTGGCAGAAGCCTCATCGTCATCTTCCTGAGCTTATCATCGCGGGTGCATCTTCCAGCCCTCACCATGCTGATACCATCGTAGAGCACATTCGAGTGCCGTCTTCCGGTCAGGCCCTGGTAGCTGCCGAGCCGGGCCAGGAGGCGCTGGTGTCGCGAGGGGGCGGCCGCGGCTTGAAGGCTCCGAGACCGAGAGGGCCAATGTCGCTTTTGGGCTACGAAACCCTTGGGGCCATCGTGAGTCTCAGGGGCTTCTTACCGTTTGTGGTGCTGGTCTCACTCTTGGGTTTGTTCAGGGATTTTTGGGGTGCAGTGTTTGTTCTGAGGCTAGTTCGTAGTTTCCGCATTGGTGATCGTATGGTGCCAAGAGCAGTTGGTAAGGGGTGTGCTATTTAATTGTTTCTTCAAGCGACAGCGTGGTGATGCTGTTCCTGATGATGGCGATGCGGCGATGATCGCTGTGCTGGTGCTGACGATGAGTGTGGTGTTGCTGACATCGCAACGCTTGTTTTAAATGCCGGTCTTTTGAAATTTTGCAGTAGAGGAGTATGACATGCTTCATCCTTCGCTATATGGGGTTCGCGGGTTGCCGTTAGTGGACACGGTTTGTTTGCTGGTGCCAGGCCGTGCAGAATGCTCGGGAGCAGTCGTCGACGGTTTCAGGCCACGAAGGGTTGCCTCAAGTGCCTGGGTACTCTCGATTCTGGGGCTGAAGCTCTTCTTGGCCTTTTGTTTTCGGTGCTCTTGCCGTGGTTGGGCTGTGGGGAACCATCTTGCCGAAGGTTAAGAGTGCATGCTCCAGGACAGGATGCATTAAGCTCTCCAGTGTGCCAGGCCCTGATGGCACCCACACGGAGAGCAAGAAGTCCGTAAAGGAGCAGAGGCTTTTCCGAGTCGGCCACTTGGTTGTGTCGCGGCTACGACTTTGAATGTGTCGCGCCTCTTGCGCCGCCGAGGCGCACAACAATGCCCATGTGGAAACCAAGGCCAGCTGGATCGCACATGGCCACGCGCTTCCATGCGTTTTTTTTCTAAGGTGATGTCTGAGCAGAAGCGAAAGACAACAAAGAAGGACAACGAGAGACTCCCGGAGACATGGAGTCATTCTCCTTCTCTGGGCTCCTCCCGAGCAGGACGGCACTGTGGTCGTCACAGAGAGCAAGAGCATCAGGAAGGTGCCTCTCCGCGATCCGGGAAAGAACAGCCTTCATCTTTGGCGCTTCTGGTGGCAGGTTTGCTATCTCTGAGCAGCAGAGTTCCGCGGAAGCCGAGACCTGCAGTTCACTGACGGCGGTGTGGAGCGGCCTATCGTTGACAATGCCATTTGCAACATGAATTCAATGCCAGCTTGAGGTGTTTTGCTATGTGAAACCGCCGTCGCAATCCTTGTTGATATTTTCAGTTAACGAACGCCAGTGTCGACAGAAGCAGCAGCGACCCAACGGCATGGTTGAGTCTTCGAGGTGTTTTTTCATCGGCTAAGAGCAGCGTTTGAGATCCTTCGCTGTACTGAGCAAGTCGCTGTGCTGAGCTCCAAAGTGACTCCTCAAAGGCCCGGCACAGGAGGGCCTGATAAGGATCTACTGGTCTGGGGAGAAGAAGGGGACGGGGAAGGCCTTGCCAAAGGCGGGCAAAAAGAGGTCACCATGCTCGTAGAGCCCAGAGGACATGGCATCTGAAAGGGCATCGAGTGTCCCCAAAAGTCTTTCTCCTTTCAGGTCCGGGAGTCCAGGCCTCATATGACTCTCGCAGTCGCCTTCAGGACATTGCGCAGTGCTTGTGTCCTCCGCCACCCTTGGCCGGAGCCGAGGCTCTCGGGAAGCAAGCCCAAAGGCCCGATGCAGAGCCTACGTCGAATCTCTTGGTACGGGCTCAGCCCAGTGCAGGTGACGCCGAAGCACCAGCGCGGTGCTGACGACGTCACGCCGGAGCGTGTGCTCCAGCCCGCGCCCTTTGATGCCTTTCTGCACACGTGCTTCGACGTGGCTCGGGCTCAGGCGCATCTCCGGTCTCATGACCGAGATGACCGCGATGGAAACCTCACTGGAGAATCTGCGTGAGCAGATGGAAAAGGAGGAGGCAAGGACCTGAGCTCAGTGTGGTGACCTTTCGGTGCAGCTATCAGGCACAAGATCTTGACCTTGAGCCCTTGCTGGAGTTAGAAGAAGAGGACGAAGGTCCACGATGTGCTTTTGGTCAACATCCGGTCTCAGTTATTCTCTGCATCCAGGTTTCAAGCCGCTCGCAGCTCCGAAACAGGACATCAGGGTTGTGAGAGAGCCCGGGAGAGTCACAGAAACTCCACATTGCAAAAGCTGCAACAAACGAATCTGGCTCGTGGCTGATCCCACATCCGTGCATATCCGGGCAGTGTGCGCGTTAGGAGCCGCGCTCGCGTCTGCGCAGCCGCCTTCCTGCATCTTTATCTTGGCTGGAAGAAGCCGCAGGGCTCCAAGCGTACCTGATGATTCCTGACCTTCTAGGGCTTTTGCCAGCCTCCGAGGCTCGCAAGGGGCGGCCGAGCATACCGATGCAAAGCCGCAGCCAGGCCCCGAAGCGAGCGCCTCGAAACCCGCGAAGACCTGGGCTGAGGAGCTCAGCCCACTAGTCGTGAAGTTGTGCAAAGTCTTCGGTACCCCACTGTTTTTTTGCACGTGATCGCGAAGCGTTTCTTCTGCCGAAGACCTTGCGAAGTTGAGGGGGCCGGGTGCGCAAAGTCTGCACCCGCGGTCTGAAGGCCTTGTACAGGAGTCTTCAGGATGTCCATTGAGGATGCCAGGGGGCCAGGGGAAAGCCGTGGGCTGCCCAGCGCACTGTGACTCTGGACGGGAGAGCGCCGTATATGCGTAGCTCGGTTTAGCTCCTGATGCATCAAATATCCGCTGAAGTGTTTGCACATCTCAAGCGGTGCGTGCTTGTAATTTGTTTGACCCGCACTCCTTTTCGCTGGAGGCAGGGTGTTTCCACAGTTTCCATGGTTGTGATTCAATTGCTTCAGCTTCGTGGTGTCGCAGCTCCTGCTAGGTTAAGAGCAGCTCAGCCGATGTGGCAAGCCCAGTGGCCCAGCTGTTGAGATCGATGAAGCTCTGGCTGCAGACATCAGGTCTTGTGATGCTCCGGACTATCGACTTCCCAGCAAGGCTATCACCGTTCGAACTCGCATGATGCACGGATGTGTCATGTCGCATGCAGCGACCCTTTGTGCTGTAGGCCAAGATGGCACGGCGCCGACGCCCGCAAAAAGAAGGCCCGCGCCTCGCACTCGTCGCACTGCGCATGCTCCGCTTCGCAGAGCCACCAGAGGTGCCCCCGAAAAGAGGAGGAGCCTTCTGAGGCCTTTGCGTGTCTTTGCTTGCTTTCGTTCGTTTCTAAGTGTCACTGGCCTGGGCCGCAGGCAAAAACCTGCCTCCTTGGGTTTCCTGGCGCACGGTGGTCCCGGTGAGAGGAGGGAAAACCCGCTGTCACGGAGCCTCAGAGAGCCTCCGACACTGTGAGGCAAATGAGAGAGCAAATGCTCCAGATGCGGGCAGAAGCAGCTGCTGCCGCATCGGCGAGTCGACAGGCCTTTTCAAGCGCTGGGGGGTGAGAAGCATCGGACATCGCACGCGCGCAGGCTCTTGCCCGAGGGCCTCGTCCCACACTGGAAGAAGAGGCGCGGGAGAGTTCCGTTCTTCACAGTGTAAAAAGCGAGTTTGATTCGACACTTCCTGAGTGCGAGGCGAGGCTTGAAGCCGGAAGCATACATGACTACACCAAGCAGGCAATAGAGGCGGGACGCTCCTGCTGTCTGGAGGTTTTCGGCAGCCCTTTCGCAAAGTCCTAATTTATGTGGATTTGCAGCTCACCTCACGGGCCAGGACTGAAAGTAGACAGGAAGCTTAGGGAAACTTGATCTTAAGCGTTGGACCTCTGTGCGTTGCAGAGCCCCAAAAATCAAGATAAACCAAGTGCCTCTTGGGGGCGGCCGGCTGGCTGAGCCAAATCGCACTGCAACCCGGGAGGAAGCGGGTGACTCCAGCACCGTCTCGTGTGCCCAGCCTTGGTTGGACTGCGTCTGTCAGCTTTCTCGCTTGACGGCAAAGTTGCCCAAGGCTGGAGCGGGGATGACCGGTCCAGCGAAGCCCCGCGCTCGGAGCGAAGCAGTGCGAAGCCCTTGGTTGGCTCCCCTTGGCGGTTGCAGGTGGTTATGGAGCATGGGCATGGCACAGATGACGATACTCTCGGTGCGCCCCCAGTGCCATGTAACGGGGTCTCCCACGGCGAGGAGCCGTGCATAAACGGAGGGACGGCAAAGCTGCACCTCGTGCGGAGACACGGGCGTTGACGGGAGAAAGCCTCAGGAGATGGCCGTTCCAGCTTTGCCCCGCTCCGCCAGGCGTGAGCTCCCCCGTCTCCGAGTTCGACTTCGAGGCCGCTGCGGGGCCTTTGGGGAGAAAAGCGCGACAACCGCCAGTGCGTCTCAGTGCGGCTAAGGCGACATGCGTTGCGCAGCATCCGTGGGAGGCGGCCAGTTGCTGCGGTACCTTTCGTTGGCTTTGGATGTCTTTCGATTTTTCTGTCCAGGCAGGCGGCGCTGGGGTGGGAGACTTTCGGGCCAAAGCAATTTTCTGAGGCGTGACTGTGATTGTTGGGTGCTTGCACAAAGCAGACGGCGCCCACTCTCCGGTCATGCTTATCACTTTCTAACGTGCGGTGCCATTTTCGCCCACCTTGCAGAGGTCGAGCTGAGGTTTTTTCTTGTGATTGCGACTTCGACCGCGAGCTTTTGTGCCTCGACCTTGCAGAGATGGTTTGATGATTTGACGGGCTTTTCCTTGCCGGTCACAATACTCCAGCCCTGTGGGCCCATCGGTCACTCAACGTGTCTCGGGAGATCTGATGATTCGTGATCTCCAGTGCTACTGAACTTAGGGTGCCGAGCTTCCGAAAACTCAGATCTCCTGGGGGCAGGGCGATAAACGAGTGCCGACGTTTATGCTTCCGGTTCAAGCCTCGACCATTTCTTCGGGCAGAAAGCACAATGAAATCCAGCCTATTCAAAGCTATTCGGGGCCGGCGGGAGTGTGCCAGGTGCAGCGGAGAGGAAGCCAATGGCCACTCCTATCCGAACTTGAGAAGATCGCGCAGCTTGCGCTGAATCTCTTCTCTGAGAGGCTCAGGATCCAGGTAGATTGCCAGCGTGGCGGTGCCAGCGTGGCGGTGCCAGCTGATCCGTGAGTGGTCCCGCAGGGAGTTCAGCAGGCGCTCCCCATTTAAGGGCTGAAGCCGAGCCGAGGCTTAGGGAAGCTTCCCGCAAAACGGTCCGTTCAAGGTGAAGGGAGATGCTACGTTTCGATACGGCAATTCTGACTGCCTTGGGCATGTGTAAAGAAGTTGTGATTTCCCGGTAGATGCAAATCATGTACAGCTGCCGGCTGCCGCACAACCAATCCAAAACCTTTGAGGTGCCGCGAGTCGTCATCAGTCGCTTGCGCAAACTTGAAACCTAAAGCCTCCACAAACATGACTGTGACACGGTGACGCCTCCGTCTACTGAGTTTACGAGTTGATCTCGCACAAAATCGACAGCTGATCCCTTTTGAACTTTGGCTGGATGTCTTTACTGTCTTGTCTGTGCCTACTGTACTGCCCAGAAACTACTACCAGCACGAGCACCTAATGTTTCCAGGCTGTTACTGTTGGCCACCTGGCTGGGATCAGTTTGAATCGATTCATGACTGTTTCGATCGTTGGACGGTGCCACCAGGGCACGCAAAGCTGGTATCCCCAGCCACCTCCGGCTGCATGCTCATGCAGATCAACGGAGATCTGTAGAATGTACATCAAAAGCTGCAGGCAGCCAAGCCAGAGAGGCTGAGCTGTTCCCAAGGCACTCAGTCTTGAACTTAGAGTTTCGTGCCTTTTTTGGTAGAATCTCATCTTCCATCTGCCTTTGGCGGCGCGGCAAGACTCGCCGAAAGCCAAGGCAGTTTGCAAAATCCTGGAAGTTTACTGAATGCCGAGAGCAACTTTAGGAGGACCCCGTCCTCCCCCTACAAACAGTTGATGCTTCTCGCGCTGATTAGATGTCTAGGCACCTGCGCCGCTTGTTTGAGCCAAGTGCCACAGTTGGCGGCCGCACACCGTACAGGGTCCGTCTCGCGGAAAAACTGGGTAGCAGCTCGTGGGCAGGCACCGGCATGACATACAAAGTCGACCAGTGACGCTTCTCGGAGAGTCACCACAGTCACCACAGATTTGCCTCACAGCACAGCTCCACCCGCGGCTGTTAGCTCTGATAAAAGTCTGCTGTCGTGCTTTGCCTCCGGGCCCGAAAGGCCAGACCAGAAGTTACGCGACTACTTGAGCCGCAACAGGCAGCACCACATCAGCACTTTCCCGTGCAGGTTGCAACCATGTCCTCCAACGTGATGTCCGTTGCCGCGCTGCCGCCCAAGCACCTGGCTCTGAACTCGTGCCCGGCCTTGCCCGTGCTCTCTGCAGATTCCTCCACCTCCCCATCCTCGGAGACCTTCGCCACCACCACCAGATCACCACCCGGACAGCTGTCAATGCGCTGGTCATGGGCATGTCCGGAACTGGCGATGATGACAGGACTACTACCACTACCACTACCGGTGGCGCCTTGCCGGCGTTCGGTTATACTTTGCTGTGACAGTTCGAGCTTTGTGCCTGCACAAGGTACTACTACCACTACTACCGGATCTACTACCGCATCTCTGCCGCATTAACTGCAGATGTAGGTAAGAGGCCGCGGGGCATGAATTCCCGATGAGCCAAAGAACGCTATAGTGGCTCCTGCCAGCCTGTAGCTATTTATTTCGTAGTGTAGCGGGTCTACGGTGACCGGTGACGATGCTTCTAGCTTGGAAATCTGCTTTGTTAAAGCACTTGACCTTGGAGTGCTGACCGCAGCTCCGAAGTCTGCAAGACAGCCCAGTGACAGGCTTAGATGTGGGAGCAAGAGCGTGGACTGGTCTTGGAGGACAAAGGAACTTGTGTCTGACAACAGCACAATTTTAGAGCGTCTGCATGCGCAGGAGGCAGTGGGTGCATTCTGCACACTAGGGGCCGCCGTTGCAGCGACCGTCTGTTCCTGAGATTCTGTGACAGGCTGTTGTTTCTTTCCGTCAGCACTGAGTGTTTTCCAGGCGTGCGTCAGCCTCGACAGCCATGCGAAGCCCTGAGGGACCACAGCAGCTTCTCTTGGGTTCCAAAGCGCAGCTTCCAGGTCCCTGGGCCACTTTGAAGCCTCACGCCCCGGCCTCGGAGTGAAAGAGAGATCTTGGTGCAGACTTCGCTTCGTGAGGCGAAGAGCTCGCTGGGCGCATGGCCTCAAAGGCCATGGGCGGTCCTGTGCAGAGACAGTGTGCCCACTGACCTGCGGTAGGAGGCAGGAGCCACGGAGCTTGGACGCCGACACAAGGCAGGTTCCCTAAAATCTTCAAAGCTCCGGGGGGGGGGATCTCGTTCGCATTACCTGCTGCGCCAGGTGCGGCTCGACCAGGGGAGTCGGGCCGAGGCTTCAAGCAGTTTGCAGTGTCTTGGGAGGAAGAACCTACCTTGGATGATGTCGAGTATGATGATGCAATCGATGATGTTGACCGTGACGCTCATCACCATCATTTGCCTCCCTGATCATCGACCATGCGTATCACGACCATCATCCTCCAACTCATCGCCATCATCTCCGGGTCGTCGTCGTCGCCAGCACCAGCATCGCCTTCAGAAAGCCACGAGCCATCAATGCCTTCTCAAAGAAACCTCTGGGACAGACCTACAAGCTCTTTAATGAACCTTGATCTTGGAGTGCAGAAGCTGGCCAGGTCGGCCAGGTGCTTAGCAGTGCGAAGCCGTGCCTCTGCAAGGCCAAGCTTTTTGCCCTCCTCCAGCGCTTGTCGCCATCGGAGCGGCAGTTCGCGCCGAGTCCCCGTTTCATTCGGGGATTGCAAGACAGTCAGGTGCAGAACGACCATCGAGTTCATGTCCTCTCCAAGGCTGCAGAGCTTCAATCAAGCTCAACGCCTGGCACTGGAGAGGTGCACATCAACGCATTGTCTTGTGTTTAAGAGCCTCTAATGTAAGGCGCCAGCTTCTCTTCTCCAGTACATATTTGGTTTATATAGTCTGACACGATCTCACACGGGCACGGAGCAGCTGCACAGCTGTAGCTCTGTTGCTGATGCGATCCACGTAGGTGGATCTTGGCCAGGAGAGTCCTGGGCCCCAGAATGGGCAGTTGAGAATCTGGTTTGGCGTTCCAGATTCTAGCAGACCCTCAATCAACTGCGGCAGCTCGCACCAAGGCCGGAGAATCATCGAGGGCCTCGCCAGCGATGAGGAATCGCAGCCCAGCAGGAACCGCCCAAGCAGCATGTTGCTCCCCGGTGTGATTTCCAAATCTCGGGATTTCTGACAAACTGTGAAAAGCTGTGTCAAAGTTGTCTGCGTTGGCGAAGGCCGTGCTTCATGCCGCCCCTCCCAGAAGGGCAGGCAAGTTGCAGCTAAGAGCTGCGCATAAAGTTCAGTCTGGGCAGAGCTTTTCATGTGGCACCGTATAAGCGCTGCAGCGCAGAAGCTGGACAGCGAGGGCCTCGTCCGACTTATGTTTTTGACCTTCCCCATAGCTTCGTGAAGGCAAGGCAAATCTGGCATGGCGGGGCTCCACCTCCACCGCCGGGCGCGGGAGAGTCTGAGAGAGGGACGAGCTTACCCAACGAGCTTTCGAGCTTGGCTGACCAGGGCCAGAAGCAGTACTACCGCGCAAGTGTCAGAGCCACAGATGGAGTTTCAGACCTTGGCAGCTGAGAGCGGGGGTGATCAGAGATCGGAATGTTGCATTGTCCTTCAGACTTCTGTTTGACTTTGCATCGGAGGAGTTCGTCCAGCTGTGTGGCCGATACTTCAGGGAGCTTTGCAGACACCCTGATGAGGTCGTGGCTGGACCCTTTTGCTTGAAGACGGGTCTGACGCAGGGAGCCGACAAAGCACGTCGCTTCCTTGAGGCCCTCTTCCTCTGGGGAATTGGCCTCCCTATTGGGTTTAAAGGGTTTAGGGTTTAGGGTTTAGGATCATTTGTTGAGTTGTGTCCGGGAGCCTGGGCCAGGCCTTGCTGCGGATACGGGCTCGGGTTCTGGCATCCTCGCTCCAGGACGGGACTCAGGGGCTCAGGTTTCGGATCCCTGGCTCTGTCTCTGGACCAGAAGGAGCCCGCTTGCACGGAGCAAGGCCTGGAAGCCCTGGAGGCCCCTGAAGTCTTGCACACCATGCAGACGTAGGCAAGCTGGGAGACTGTCAGACAGGTCGCCTTCCGGAGTGCCATCCAGGAGGAAATCACTGGCCTCGGCTCGGGAAGGACTGCTCAGCTCCAGACAAGCATGGAGGGATCGCATCTCTGAGCAAAACCAAGAATCGCACAAAGCCATGCCGGACGAATTGATGATGCCTCGTTTAACCTGCACAAGCGGTCTTTTCGGAGGGAGGAGTAACATGTTGGAAGCCACTTGGGGATGCGGTTCCGAACTTGGCACGGAGACTTCAACAGAGGTTAGGCATGCTTCGAAAAGGAGAGGTTCTGCCAAAAGTAGCTGTGTCCCGCGTGCAGCATGCTTATGTGTGGCGTGCACGGAGCTTCGCTTCTGTCTTGGCTGCCCCCGTTGGTTCGAACACCGACAGATAGCTTGAGGATCTCAGCACATAATGAAAGGCTCAGCCAACTTGTGCAAAGCCTGTACGTTTCAGATTTGAGACTTACGCAGGCTCTATTTCTATGCCAACATTCCGGCTTCAGCCTCAAGCAACTTCCGCAGTGAACCCAGAAGTCACCCAGCAGCTGGGGTTCTTATCCGAGGCCAGCTACTGGGTTGGCCAGGCATCCAATTTTGGTTGTTCCTGCAGCTGTGTTGATGTGAAGAAAGTCATGCCGAGATTCACGGCAGGCCCTGACTACGCCACACTTTCCGGTGCTCGGCGGAGGTCTCGACCACGGGCTTTGGACTCAAGAAGCAGCGTGCAGTTGGGGAAAACTCGAGAGCATTGCGGCTTTGCCCAGCCATTTGGGTTCTCAGACCACCTCTTTGCAAATCTGCCTCCTAAAGTCTCTCTACGGAGCGATGGCAAGCATGATGGGTGGTATGGGTGATGCCATGAAGGAGCAGGACTGGGCTGTCGACATAGAAGCTTTGCAGTGCAGTGTCGTGTCATGTCAGTCATGTCTTCCACACGTTTATGCAGGCCAAGAAGAAGATTGAGGACG